TGTCATTTCTCCCCTATCTTCCCGGCTGCTTCCTCTCCCCCTCCTTCTTCAAACCACCCACTTTTTTGCCCTCTCTATTACATAAGACACATGGATCAGTGCACAGACATGTCTTTACAGATTTGCTTCTGTCTTCTCATGCTTCATCTGCTCTCACTTCCTCCATTATGTCTCTTAGAAATATTATCGTCTCATTCATCTGACAAATCAGACAATAAAACTGAGGTCAACAGCTAAAGAAGAAGTTGCTTGAAAGAACTTGTGCTTTACGTTGTTGTTGTTTAGAGCGCAATTACAATCTAATCAGTTGTCTTTTGCAAGGCAAAGCCTTTGATCAGGTTAAACTTTTCCTTGAATAAAAGGAAGGATTTGGCAGATAATAACTCCAAGGACTCAATATTACAAGGCAAGTGGAAGCAAAGTCTGCAGTGGTTCGGTTAAGAGCACACTAACTGTGAAGCAAAGAATAACAGATAAGGAGAGGGGAGCAAACAAAGCAAGCAGCTGAAAGGTTTTGAATAGGTGACACAATGTAGATCTATAGCAAAGTTTCTCTTTTTCTTTTAGTGGTCATACTTTCACACTGACAGGCTGTCCTTTCACTCCAACATTTTTAGGCTATCTTTAAAGAGTCCCCGCTGTGGCAAACAACGTGCTCTTAAATTAAAGCAGCACAGCATTTGAGATACTGATCAAGGGTTGCCTCTTTATTGTTGTATTTTTGTTATCGCACAAAAGCACAAGGCCACTGTAAAGTTAAAAGTTAACTACGCCTTTCTTTGTACTGTGCACGACAGCGGAGAGAACGAGTTGTTAGAAAGCGGAGGAAAATGTTTGGTTGAGGCTCAGGTGTTTCTATAAAACGACATTCTTGTAATGCTCTGTGTAAAGTATGCAGGGGTGTGCCATTGTCCTTGGGCGGAAAAACAAAGGCCGTCCGAAAAAAAATTTGTTTACAGAAAAATGCTGTATTGTTTTCCCTAAACGCCGCTGCTTACATTTCAACATTACCAAGAGGAAGTGGGTACAGCTGACACCAGTGTTATTTACCTTACAGCAAAACTTCAGCCTGATCTTCTAGCTAATTAATAACTCCAGTTAGAGACACTGTAGTTTTGTTACAAGGAAACATTTTTGTACATAACAGGTTTGAATCAGTCAATGTGATCTCTTCTAGATTTCTAATAACAACATCGTCACTGGAGTCAAAATAAAGCAGAGTTGTTATTCTCACGTTAGCCTTTAAGGTTGATCATTTATTACATCTAACTTACTGCTGCTGATGCCAACAACAAAAAAAGACCTCAGAGCAAGACAGAACGTGCTTGTTAGATGGAACAATCACTTCAAGCCTTTTTAAATTCTTTTATGCTGTTGGGTGACATTTATAAATTTCATCTTTCGCTTTTCATAAGATTGGACTGCTATCTCTGTGCGTCAGCGCTGAAAAAATTTCCCCTCTGACCCTGGCACGGTTAAATGCCACATTTTACAGCCAAATGCCACCAGAGAGGACGAAGAAAACACAAAGAGGAATCTAACAGCTTTTGTGAAAGCACGCTTTTGTCCATATGTAACGATTGATGCCAATAAATGGTTAAGTAAGTAAGTTTTATTTTCTGCAAATAACTTGGCAAGAAATTTTAAATTTGTCTTGTTTTTCCATTTGATTGTTTTGTGCTTTGTTTTTATTTGCAGATTTAATTATTATTATATCAGGTTAAAAAGGCATTTACCATCACTCTCTAGATTTAGAGACTGTGTTTATTTGAGGATAAAAGAAAAGCTACAAAGACCCCTATGGGAGAATGACCGGGGTGAACAAAAAAAAGACTTTATTGATCCCAGGGGGAAAATAATCTGTTACAGCAGGAGGGAACACATGTGTGGGCTGGAAAGACCAAAAACTGCATTAACGAGTAAGCTTGAAAATAGACGACCTCTCTGTGGACTGTGATAAAATGTTTTGCCACGACAGCACAAACTATATTTACTATATCTTCACCATTCACAGTCATTAATAAATTCAAAAGCATTTGCAAAATCAAGTGTAGAAAGTGTGCTATGCTATTTATTGTCATATGATTGGACACCGATAGTACGCAAGGCA